GTTTAATTACTTGCTAATTGAATTAAAAAAAATAAAGAAAATCAACTTCAGGAATTCAAATATATTTTAATTTGAATCATGAACCAACCAAATTTACTCTTAAGATTGAAGAATAGTGGTGATTTAAGGTTATATTTTTCTGTTTTTTAACATTGGGGCAGGCCACAGATTAATAGGTCATTGGCATTAGTTGTAAGTGAGGGAGCGTGTCTCCATTAATTATTTGAGGGTGGTAATGAATTATGAAGGGTATATAGATGCTAAAAGCATGGACAGAAAGCCCAGTCATGGAGCATTATAATGAACTCTGGGATGCATAGCTATGTCTCTATCTCCTTGTAAGCATGCTTTTGGATTGCCTTACAGCTCATATGGGTACTTAAGAGCCCAATTATGCATATGCTTAACATGCGTTGGTGTAGGAATATTACTAGGACCTACACTTTGTTTGCTTTCTTTGCTTGTAATGTGGAACTATTTGAAAAAGACAGAATCTCCCAGCTCCTTAAATAGTGTTTGGCCTCCCTTTAGCTTTGGTAGCTCTTGCTTGAAAAGGCATTGTAGTACTATGTCATTTTCATTATTTAACAAAACATTATTGAAATGAACAGATGTCAAAGAAGAAAGGTAGCTTCGTATGCTTTATGTGGTTTGAATGCTCAGTTCAGCCATGAATGTCATATCAGCTTAAGGGTTCAGAATTCAGATTCATCCTTGGACCCAAAACAAAAACAAAAAGAAAAAGAATTTAGATTCATCAATCCCCTACCCACCCAATTGGTTGCAGTATTTTCTTATAGTCATTCATCCTAGGTAATGAATTAATTAACACTGGTCACTGGCCCCGACTTTTTTTTTCTGGTTTTCAGTTAACAGTTAGAAGAAGATTGGTTGTTTTAACTCAAACGTATGAGAAAAAAAGTCTAAGACCGTGAGCACCATGAAAAAAGAGAACAGAAATTGGAATGTTGGATATATTTTGAAAATGTGGGAATTAACACCATCAATCAATATTTGAATCATTGAATGGTCCCTACAACAGAGCCGGTGGCAATTGATAATGATTCTGACAATTGGGGCCCTTTGGTTTTAGTCAAGGCATCCATACACGTGAAACTTCGTTCCAAATGCTTTCCCATTTGTAGCAATTAATACAGATTCAAAGAGGAAAAATTATAACCGGGAAAAAAAGAGACATAAGATTTGCTATAATATTAATATGTTTATGTAAGTGATTTTAAGGGGATGTCTGTATGCTGCATCCATTTTATTTTAAGAAGTATGCTCCAATGCATCAAAGGATTTTGGGATGATGTGTGTGTGTGAGAGAGAGTTCCTACTTTTGTTGTGCAATGAGAGGGTTATGAGAGTTCATACACATGCATGTAATATTTATACATAAGAGTTGAATATCGCGTTTAATTTAAAAAGTTATCCTATTAGGTTGTGAGACAATTCTTATATATAAATTCCCTGTACCTTTCATTCTTTTTCAATGTATGACATTCCTTATACATTGGCATGTACATCCCAACAGACTCTCCTTTATGTGTAAATCTTATGGCTTCATACTCTGACTCAAACGAAAGTCATTATCATATCATAATTTTTTATATGCATTAACAAATAACTTTTTGCACATTGACCATAAGGAGCCATCACTTTGCTACTAGGTGCCAAATGAAAGTCATCCATGAGTGTGCTAGGCCATTGAGTCACCATATGCATCTATCAATACTTGCATCTAGTTAGACCTTTGACTCTAATACCACTGTTGTGCAATGAAGGGACCCATCAAAACTAAGGAGCACATGCACATAAACACAAGATTTACATATAAGGGTTGAACACCACCTTTAACTCAAAAGATTAAGTCATTAGGTTATGAGCTAACCTTTATATTTAAGTGCATTTCTCCATGTACATTTCTTTAGGTACTATATAATTAGCATGCATCATTTCTTTAGGTACTATATAATTAGCATCTCTTTGCACTTCTTAATTTTCAAGCAAGGATTCCTTGTTTTGTTATTATTATTATTATTATTAGGGTAAATTATAGATAGATATCCAATACTTTGGAGCATAGTTTTAATACCGCCATTGACCTGGGCAGTTGGATAGTTCAGCCCGGAAACCGATCAAGATATAAGTTCCATTTTAGTGTTGAATCGTTGTTTTACTAAAAAAAATGTTGAATTGGTCAACAAACCATTGACTTAGATGGTCTGACCGTTGAATCGTTCAACGTAGACAACATATTTGCGGTTCAATATACTTCATTTAAAATTTTCAAAAAATAAAATAACAAAAAACAGAGAAAAAGAAGGTCGATCTTAGATATCTAAGGTCTGAGATTTGTGTGTGTGTGTGTGTGAGAGAGAGAGAGAGAGAGAGATTTATCTTAGGTTCAGAGATGAGATCTATAAGAGATCTTAGATTACAGATTTGTGAGAAAGATCTAACGCCACCTGAGGTCATTGTTGCTGTTGGCCCATTGCCGCTGTAGGTCACCCACACCTCTGCTTCCTCCTTTCTTCTTCTTCTTCCAATCTCTTTCTTTCTCTCAACCTTCTAATGCTCCAATCCAAAGGGCAGGATGAGGTCTATTGTTGAAACGTCTGAACCAGATGACCCAGATGATTGAATCACTAGTCCGAAAATCGATGGCCAAAACGATTCCTTTTTAGGTCGAATTTTAAAACCTTTCTTTGGGGGTAATGGCACTTAAGGGCATGAACGTTCAAGTGTGACATTTTAGTACCCTAAACTTTTAAAATTATACACTCGAATCCAACTCTGTTAAAACTAGGGTTACAATGAGGATAAAATTACAACAAATGATCATATTCGTATTGTCTTTATTCTTTCATTGTTCCATTCAAATGCCTTTATTCTTTGTTGAAAAGAAGTATAGAAATGGTTTCATATGAAAAAAAGAGTGAAATAAAAGTTCAGCGAGCAAAAGAAATTCTGAACATGGTCATTTTTGTAATTTTGCTCTCATTGTAAGGCCAACTTTAACAGAGTTGGATTTAAGTGCACATTTCTAAAAGTTCAAGGTACTAAAATGTCCGACATGAAAGTTCAGACCCTTGAGCGTTACTACCCCAAATAAAGTATCTATTTGTAATTTACCCTTATTGTAGTATATGTAGTAACTAAATGGAAATTGGTGTAGTCCAAACTAAAAGCAGATTTTCCACATGGTAGGGTGGGTTGATACCAAAAAAGGGCCATGACTGTTTTCTCCCATCATACCCTATTCATTGGGGCATGCTTCAGCTCCACCTTGCCCGCTTGCCCCCTTTAGGGATGTCCAAAATGAATCCTTTGCTGTGTATATATGCATCTTTTAAATTTAAAACTGCTGACAGCTACTACAACTTGGGGAAAATTCCAATACTAGGTGGAGCATAGGAGTGTGAGGTAAGGAGAGTGAATACATAACCAATCCAAAGGATCTTTTTATCTGATGATGACATGTTTGGAGTGGCCATATCAGCAATGGATCAGAGATTGGGCTATACCCATTATCATCTTCATCATCATCATTTCTTCTTCTTCTTCTTCTTTTTCTTGATGGATGAGAGTTCAGATCTTCTCCCAACAAGTCATTTATGATGGAGATGTTCCGGATATACAGCTGCAATATCTTGTTAGGAGGGAGGTTTGTTGGTAGCAGATCCAGTTTCCATGGACCACTTGAAATGTTACATCTATACACTATTCCAAATATGTGGTATTTGACCAAAAAAAGAAATATGTGATCTATCGTGCATTTGTAGCGAGTAATAGCGAAAAAAATCATCATCATCGTCATCATACAATGTGAATAGTGGTTAGTGGGCGGTGGAAATCAAGGCTTTAAAATTCAGAGTTTTGATGAAAATGTTCATACATGCATTTTGGTTATTCTATCAATACCTAGCTAATATATATTAATTATAAGTAAATGTAATTGATATTTTATTATATTCACAATTATTTCCGGCAAATTAAAACAAGTGTTGTCTAAATTAATCCTGAAATGTATGAAAGAAATATCAAATTTTCAGCGAAAATATTGTATTGGTTGGTGGGTTTGAAACTAGAATTAATTGTGCAAATTTTGAAACCATGGTAGTAATTAAGAGTAATAGTAGAAGAGGAGAGGAGGAAATTAAAGCAGCAGCAGTAGCAGAGTTGAACACGTATTATATATGATGCATGATTGGCATGCACATGCACAGCCTGTGTTTGATGTAGAAACGTCTATTGGCTCATAGGATATATGACGATGCCAATCAGATGGTGACAAAGCAGAGAAATTATGGGTCAAGGGTGGATCCATTAAATGGTTACGTTCCTTACGGACGGTTGGCTGCCGTTCCAGCAATGTGACCCAGAAGAAGACGTAGTTGAGACGAGAGTACATAGAAATAGAATAGAAGGTAAACAGACTAAAAACTGTTGGAGGTTAAGGGGGCAAAACGGAGAACGGAGGTGGAGAAAGAATGAAAGTGAGAAGATACCTGGATGGAGTTGGGTTGGGGCGAGGGGCGACTACTGAGTACTGAGCTGGTATATTATGAAAAATGGATACAAGTTGAGGGAATTCAAGTACATGGTGCTCGGACCATGGAAAGAAAAATGAAGGAAAGGCTCAACCCAAACCAAAAGTCACCTACCAGGGGGACCATAAGAAGTAAACCATGTCGGTTTTTGGGCAGGCCCTAGTGATGACAGCTTACCATCTTCGAAATTTGCAGGGTTTGCTGTAACCACAAAGATAAAATAAAAAGAAGGCTAACAGGAGGAGGTAGGGTCCGAAAGGGAGGCCTCTCTCCAATAAAAAGAAGACTCGTATGCATCCCCCCTTATCCTAGGCACAGCCATCCACCACTCGCCCCCCCTTAACAACGCAGCAGTGTAGTACCCAACAACACCCCTCAGCGTGTCTATAAAGAGAGCTTTCGGGGAGAGAGAGAGGGAGCTAGCTAGCTTGGGCCTGCCTTTGGGGTACCAGACCAGTGGGCCGATCGATCGAGTTCATGAAGGACGAAGAGGAACATAATAATATATATTCGATCTTTGAGATTGTGTGTGTTCAGAAAGAAGAAGAAGAAGAAGAAGAAGAAGAAGAAGAAGAAGAGGAGGAGAACGAAAGGAATGTTCTTATTCGGCCACTTCATCCCCACTGATGACTATGACAACTCACGTTTCTCTGTGTCTTCTGTGCTCTTCGGAATTTCAGGTTTTCTTATGAACATCGGAATATAAACCCATAAAGTAGACAAACAAAAGCCAGGAGGCCCAGGAAGGAAGGAGAGAGAGAGAGAGAGAGAAATATATAGTTTTCTTTTACTTTTTCTTTCTTTCTTTGTGTTTTGTGTATTCGTAGACATGGGATATGATTTTTTTGAACCCTCGTCTCCTCTGGTGGTATACGCTAGCTTACCCGTAGCCACAAAGGTTGACACCGATTTCTCAGAAGAGCAAGACTACCACAAAAGCCGGTTCCTTACCCCTTCAGAGGTCACTCCTAGCTATCATATTCATATGCCTTGAGTTCTCTTAATTTCTCTGCTCTGCTTTTTCTTTCATGGATCTCATCAACAAAAAGAAAAAGAGTCTTATTATGTCTTAATTTCTACTCTTTGCAGGTTGTTGAAGAGATCAAACAGCTTTGCAGAATTGCCTTCCCCATGATCATCACAGGCCTACTCATCTATGGTAAATCCGTGATATCGATGCTTTTCATGGGAAGACTAGGCAAACAAGTGTTAGCAGGTGGATCTCTCTCGATCGGCTTCGCTAACATCACCGGCTACTCGGTCCTCTCTGGCCTCGCAATGGGCTTGGAGGCCATATCATCTCAAGCCTGCGGTGCCAAGCAATGGCCTCTCATGGGTCTAGCACTGCAACGCACCATCGTCATTCTCGCCATGGCTTGTATACCCATCTCCTTCTTGTGGCTTAAGGTCGAATCCATCCTTCTCTATTGCGGCCAAGACCCTGCTATTGCCACCGTTGCTTCTACTTACTTGGCCTTCTCTCTTCCTGACCTCTTGTTTCAGTCTTTTATCAACCCTCTCAGGATTTACTTAAGGACCCAGAAAATCACTCTCCCTCTAATGGTCAGCGCCGGCTTCGCTCTAGCCCTGCATGCACCCATCAACTACTTCCTCGTCTATCACCTCGACCTCGGCGTCCGCGGCATTGCCTTGGCAGTGTCACTGACAGACTTCAACCTACTCCTAGCCCTGTTGCTCTACCTATACTTCTCCGGCATCCACCGGAAGTCATGGCAAGGTTGGTCCCTCGAGTGTATCCGTGAATGGGCACCCATTCTCAGCCTAGCCATCCCTAGTTGTGTCTCCGTCTGCTTGGAATGGTGGTGGTACGAGCTGATGATAATATTCTCCGGCCTGCTCTCGAACGCCACAGAAGCCGTGGCCACCATGGGCATTCTCATTCAGACCACCTCGTTCGTCTACATTTTCCCTTCATCTCTCAGTCTTGCCGTGTCCACCAGGGTTGGAAACGAGCTGGGCGCGAACCGCCCCGACCGGGCGAGAGTATCAACTGGAGTGGCGCTGTCTTGTGCTATATTCACCGGCTTTGTCGCCATGTCCTTCACGACAATGATGAGTGACGCCTGGGGACGAGCGTTCACAACCGACGAAGCCATAATATCACTAACTGCGATGGTAATGCCGGTACTAGGACTCTGCGAGCTGGGCAACTGCCCACAAACTACTGGTTGTGGAGTTCTGAGAGGGAGCGCCAGGCCGTCGTTGGCTGCCAACATAAACCTGGGCTCCTTCTATGGGGTGGGAATGCCCGTGGCAATGCTAATGGGCTTCGTAATGGATATGGGCCTGTTGGGTCTCTGGATGGGCCTCCTTACGGCACAAGCAACTTGTGCGTTGGTTATGGTGTTTGTGTTGATGAGAGCAGATTGGATCCTACAAGCAAGAAGAGCTAGCAAGCTGATCACCGGTAGTAACATTGCAGACAAAGCAACGGAGACAGATGACCATGACCTTGAAGGGGTCTTATCAAGCAAGATGGGCCTGGTGAACCCGTAAGCTGATACCAGTAGATCCCCTTAAATTAACGGCTACCTTTTTAATTGTTTAGTTAAATGGAAAGTGAAGATCGACATGCATGGGAGTTTCTAGTCAAAAGTGACGCAAGAAATTTTGTATTGGGTGATGAGTGGGTCTCTAATCTGGGTTTTTGGTGTTGTACAGTTGAGCTTGAAGCTTGCCATTTTGGGTGAGAAGCAGAAGAATCCTTATTCTATACTATATTCTTCTAGTCTGTATTGTTATGGCCTTCTGGTAAGTGTATCATTAAGAATTGAGATATTTCATAAATAATAACATGGTGTGGCATTTGATTATAGTAAAGGGCTGTACTAAGATTTTATATATATATATATATATATATAATACCATAATATCACTAATAAATTAATTACGATATGTCATTGCTCAATTGGGTGGCCGGAGCAGATAAACGCTTTTAAACCAGACCGCCGCCACCGGGGTTTTATGCCGGAAAAAAAAATGCGAAAATGGGATACTTGGATGCATTTTTTTTTTTCTTTCTTTTTTTGGTGTACAAGATGCAGTAATTTCTGTCAAGAATAACTGGACTGGATCATTTAACAAATTGCCCTGTTTTTTGCTTGACTTCTCTTAGAGATGTTCCCTTCTGTTTTGTTCCTATTTATCTTGAAACCTCTTGGTTCTAGAGTTCGTCTCTATAGAAACATCCCATTGCTAGATTTCGATTTTAGTAAAAAGACTTATTGTATGAAAAATAATTAAAAATATAATAATTTAGTAAACAAGTTGGGAAATCATAACTTGAATGGCATCACCGTGTAAGATTAATTCTAATACCATAATACCACTGGAAAAGGCATATCACGTGCATAGCACATGCAATGCAATCCATAAACCCTCCATTGGATCCCCTTGAGGTGGTCCAAATTTGTCAAATAAATTAACGTGTAAGAGAAAAGCTTCTTCTAAGGCATGGCCTCATATATATATAAATACGAATGAGAGTACAGTACATATGCAGACATGCTGAACTCTACTACCACTGTTGGCTGCTTCATATATACTTTAAGGAGAATTGAGGTTGGCTGCAAACTGAAGCCCAAACACTAGTGAGCCAGGTAGAACCCTAGAAGGACGAATACTGCGATCCAGGCTGTCTATCAGATGAGAGACACATTATGATAATGTATTGGACATCTTTCCCTACATATAGCAGTGAGCCAGAGCTTATGTTGAAGGGCCCTCTGGGCTGAAAGCAACAGCTAGAGCCTTTTTTAGACTTCCACCTAACTCATATAGCAAATAGAAAGAAAACCTACCTAAAGCACTTCCTGAATGTAGAATTAAACAACTTTTTTTTTTCTTTTCTCTTGGTTTATAGACTAAATATATTACACAAAGTTGTTCTATACATTCTAATTAATTACTTAGAACTATAGAGTAAGAAAGAAGTCTTTCTTTTTCTTTCTTGCTTGCTTGTTTGCTTGCTTCGATTAGTGCTACAGCATTGCTTTAATTCCATGCATCTATCTATGTCTTGTTGGGTGACAAATTGAGGAACTGAAGAGACAATGCAGGGGGTGAAGATGTAGTGGGGTTAGACAATAGCTCTTGTCTGCTAAATTAGTTTCATGCCTGCCACTTCCATCCATGTTGGATTTTCTATTGATGGAGGCTCCCATTCTCTAGATGGGTTCCTTTCCTTTTCCTTTTTCTGCTAAAGTTTGGAGCTGGAGTACTATTATGAACCTATTCCATTAAAAAAAAAGAAAGACTTGCATTAAATACAAGTAGTAGTGGGGCAATGCTGTTACAGATTACAGTAGTCAATCTCAATTCTCAACTCAACAAAACCTTATTTTAATGGGTAGTGTCATTATGTAAAATTATTTGAAATCATCACCCAAACAACCTCCTCTCACTATTCAATAGTTAATGACAAACTTTATAGAAGTACTTAAGTGTGTACTGACTAAATACATCCTGCTTGCCTAGCACAAAAAGGCTACCCTCTTGCTCAAAAAGCCTACTCCTTTTATGTAATAGGTGTATAGGAACTGAATAAATATATAGCCAAAAGACTGCACTCCTGGTTTGTTTCCCTTTGAAAGGGAATCGCCCACTTGGACTTCATAAACATTTTTTTTTCTTTAAATTTTTTGTTTGTTTTTTGATAGATGAGTTAAGCACTTGTTATTTCTATCTAACAACAACTTACAACTCTCTCTCTCTCTCAAAAATAAATAAATAGGTAAATAAATAAATAATAAAGAATTCATATCCAATTTCCAAACAAGCCAATTTTGCAATCCAAGCATGATGTGGACAGTATTACTGAAAAGCTCTTTCTTATTTCAGGGTACGTACGATCTAAAAACTAGCTCAGTAGCTCTTTCATTTGAAATGGTTGTTTATTAGTAAATTTTTTTCCCGATAAGCAAAAAGGCAAAGAACAATGTGTACAAACCAAGTGTCTTCATTCCATACCTGAGGCTATATGACAAATGATTTCCTGAAAATTGCTATTTTGCAGTGTTTTGGTTGCACAGAAGATGGGCGTGAAAATGTAGATTTACAATGAGTATTAGTTGTAAGAAAATGGCATCTTATTTTCTGCAAGTCATTTTCCAAATAGGGTTTCATCCTCTGGATTTATAATATCTTGCATTGTCAGTGGAATTAATGTTTCTCAACCATTTAGGTTTATTTTCCAAGTTAAGCAAAACATCAGAAAATTAAAATTAGGAATATGATTAACTTAATTTTCTACTGAATTCCATTTTTCAAAGCAGGAATTCACTTACTTTTCTTTGTTTTTATCACTTTATGTGCAACCAAATGCAGACTTCTGGTTGCACATATATAAAACATGTATTAATACATGAAAATATTTCTTTTCATCCTTCTTCTTTTTGCCAATTAAAATTTTATGTTTGTCTATCATCAATATACACCCAATGTTGGTCCCAGCTACCTAGGGTCTTGGGAGGGGTAAGTTGGATACAGTCCTAAACTTTGGCATTTTTCTCTCCTCATTAAGTGTCCACTTTCAGACTTGAACCTGCCTTCTCACACATGTCAGCCCGAGATTTTACCATTACATCAAGTAATGATACAAAGTTAAAAAAACAAGCTAAAAACTTATTAGTATCTCAATTGAGATGGATATTAGAAAGAGTGGCTTTGTATTACATTAAAATTTTATATTTGTCTATCACCAATATATACCCAATGTTGGTCCCAGCTACGTACTTAGGGTCTTGGGAGGGGTAGATTGGATACAGTCCTAACCTTTGGCATTTTTCTCTCCTCATTAAGTGTCCACTTTCAGACTTAAACCTACGTTCTCACACATGTCAGCCCGAGATTTTACCATTACACCAAGTAATGAT